TAATATAACCTTCCTTCGAAAGCGAGAAAGTGTCGGGTGCAGACCAAACACCACAACTGACGACGGCCTCCAAGTAAATCTGGTTAGAAGTTGTTCATAGTGATAGCTGATTTCTGGTAAATGATAGTTGTAATTAGTGACAATCGATAGAATACAACTGCAACAGGCTAATCATTTCATTGGCAGAAAACATTAACATTTTGTGAAGGGCCGTCGTCACTTGTGGTGCATGGTCTGCACCCGACACTTTCTCGCTTTTTGAAGGGGAGGGTACTAGTGCTCAAGGACTGTAGCAAGGCGTATACTGAAGTGAAGCCCAAAGTTGAGTTAAAGGCTACATCAACGCTCACTGTCTGTGTGCTACCATAATTTAGGTGTAACATACAAATAAATACAGTAAGAGCAATATCGACAACCTGGAAAGAATAGCAGGCTGCATTCCAAGAAGGGGAAAGGCATGTGGTGCAAAAGTTTACGTCGTCTACAGAAATCCCAATTTTCGCGAGGGAGGAGATCCCTGGCGTGCGTGAACCACTTCGTTTTTGCTTCTACACCCATCCCAAAGCTTCACTCCCATGCAAGTATCGGAAACACTCTCAGGGGGTGCGGATAGCATCGCATGCCCCCTCACTGGAAATTACCCGAAAGGCATTACTTCCTCGCTTGTTATAAAAGAGTACTCGAATTTCAGGTGCAACAATGCGACTGTGCGAACATGCTGCAGCCGCAATGCGGTTGCCAGGTGCCACCGAACCCAAGCTGTAACTGCGGTCAACTGCAGCAACAGTACTCGAGTTGTGGATGTGGTCCACTAACCTACCAGGTACCTGCCTTCTTTTAGAAGGTAAACACCTTCAAAACGGTTTCTCTTCCAGGTTTCCTGCAACCAATGCCAACAACCACCGCAGATGTGCGCTCCGTCATGTATGCCGTCCTGTCAGCCCAGCTGCATGCAGCAGCAACAGCCACAATTCATCGTCGTCCAGCAGCAGCCCCAGCAACAATGTGCTCCAGCCTGCATGCCATCCTGCCAACCGCAGTGCATCCAGCAGGCCTGCGCACCTGCTTGTCAACCAATGTGTGCGCCACAGTGCACTCAACAGCAACAACCCCAGCAGATCATCGTCGTTCAGCAACAACCTCAACAGCAGTGCGCTCCCGCTTGTATGCCGTCCTGCCAACCTCAATGCCTTCAGCAGGCTTGTGCACCAGCTTGTCAGCCAATGTGTGCGCCCCAATGTGTGGAGCAGCAACAGCAGCAGATCATTGTCGTCCAACAACAGCCACAACAGCAGTGCGCTCCGTCGTGCATGCCTGCCTGCCAGCCGCAATGTGTCCAGGCATCGTGCGGTGGTAACTGCAACCAGCAACCCCAACAAATCATCGTGGTCCAGCAGCAGCCCCAGCAACAATGCGCTCCTGCCTGCATGCCGGCCTGTCAGCCGCAGTGCGTCGAACAACAGCAGCAACAGATCATCGTGGTTCAGCAGCCTCAGCAGCAACAATGCGCTCCGTCTTGTATGCCGTCGTGCCAGCCCCAATGTGTCCAGCAGGCCTGTGCTCCTGCCTGCCAGCCGATGTGCGCCCCTCAGTGTGTGGAACAGCAACAGCAGCAAATCATTGTCGTTCAGCAACCGCAACAACAGCAGTGCGCCCAGTCTGCCAGCCATCCTGCCAACCACAGTGCGTACAGCAGCAGCAGATCATCGTGGTTCAGCAGCCTCAGCAGCAACAATGCGCTCCGTCTTGTATGCCGTCGTGCCAGCCCCAATGTGTCCAGCAGGCCTGTGCTCCTGCCTGCCAGCCGATGTGTGCCCCTCAGTGTGTGGAACAGCAACAGCAGCAAATCATTGTCGTTCAGCAACCGCAACAACAGCAGTGCGCCCAGTCTGCCAGCCATCCTGCCAACCACAGTGCGTACAGCAGCAGCAGATCATCGTGGTTCAGCAGCCTCAGCAGCAACAATGCGCTCCGTCTTGTATGCCGTCGTGCCAGCCCCAATGTGTCCAGCAGGCCTGTGCTCCTGCCTTGCCAGCCGATGTGTGCCCCTCAGTGTGTGGAACAGCAACAGCAGCAAATCATTGTCGTTCAGCAACCGCAACAACAGCAGTGCGCCCAGTCTGCCAGCCATCCTGCCAACCACAGTGCGTACAGCAGCAGCAGATCTGCGTGGTTCAGCAGCCTCAGCAGCAACAATGCGCTCCGTCTTGTATGCCGTCGTGCCAGCCCCAATGCGTCCAGCAGGCCTGTGCTCCTGCGTGCCAGCCGATGTGTGCCCCTCAGTGTGTGGAACAGCAACAGCAGCAAATCATTGTCGTTCAGCAACCGCAACAACAGCAGTGCGCCCAGTCTGCCA